CCAAGGGCATCAAAAAAACCAAGAGATTCGAAGCAGTCTGCAAAACCAGGTGAACCGAAACCTGCTGCAACAAAATGTGCCCGTCCAGGTCGCCTCACGATTAACCCCTTTTTCAATTTCTTGAGAGAGTATCGATTGAAACGTTGCGGTTGGCCAATTACCAAGATTGCCATTGAGGGGGCGAAATGTTGGTGTTCCATGGATCCCAAAAGCAGAGAAAAATATTATCGTGAGGCTTGTGGTGAACAAACGAGAGGATTGAAAAGGAAGGGGAGAACAAAAAAAAGTCGGAAGAGAGTACGAAAGTCAAAGCGTAAAGGGAAACAGAAGTGAAATCACTTTTCATTCATGTAATACTTGAAGCCTAAAATGTAAAATGCGTATTTTGTAATATTTACAGTGATATTGAAAATAAAGTTGAAATGTGTCCCAGTCCCATTCAAAATGATATGCTGCTTCAGTTTTATTTTCTACCCATATTCCCATTTTCCTACCTACCTGTTGTAGGTACATTAAAGTGTATTTTGAATAGGTTACTTACCTAGTGTTCAAATCATTATGTATATTCATCTACAAAATTTAATGGTTTATTACACCAGACTTCATATCAAATCATATCAAAATAATAATATGCTTTCATTTGCATTCTAACTGAATACTTTTTGAACGATTACATATTCAATAATCTAATTGTTGCAATCGATTGATGTTCAGTATATGAGACACTGCTGTATAAAAGGTACTGAAGTGTCTCTCAAGTTCTTCACTCTCGGTGAAATCCAAATTTTCCGAATAGTCCAAAAACTCCTGGCACTTTTCCTCAACAAGATTCCGATCTGATTCTTTGGAAATTTTCTCTAGGTCATATAGTATATGTCTACATTTTCCTTGCAGTTTATTTCTAGTCAACTGAAATTGTTCGAAAACATCATCTTCTAATTTGTGTATTGCAGCTTCTGCCACAGAAACTTTCATTTTACGTTCACTTATTCGAAATTCTCCCAAGGTCACTACTATTTTCTTGAATTTCCCTGTAGAATTTTCGGATGCTGTTACAGTCAATATTCCATCTTCATCTAAGATGAAAGTAACTTCCATTTTAACATCACCTGAACGTTTTAGTGGCAATCCTTCTAAAATCAAATCTCCAAGAACATTATTGTATTTCGTGTTTTTTCTTTCCCCTTCATATATTTCAAAACTGCAAGTTTCTTGATCATTTTCAGTTGTTATAAAACATTTGGCAAATTTGGCTGGTAATGGTGTATTTCTTCTGATAATAGTGCTCATTAAATCCTTATGAACGCCAACTCCTAATGACAACGGAGTCACTTCTGTTAATTTATATTTTTCCGCACTCGCATAATCATTTTTGAGAATTGCTGCTTGGAGACAAGCTCCAATCGCAACAGCTTCGTCCGGGTTCAAATCAGTTTTGAGAATTTTCCTTCCAAATAACCTCTCCAGCAGATTTCTGATTCTTGGAATTCTTGTTGACCCTCCCACCAAAACTATTTCTTTCACTTCAGATTTATTCCAACCTGCATCATCAAGTCCATATTCCACAATATCTATAGCTTTCTGAAAAATATCTTTAGTTAATTTTTCGAATTTTGATTTCTTAAGCGATAATTCGAAGTCATTGTAACCATCGTAACACTCGATCACTGTTGAAAATTCATCCAGACTTGATAACTGTTTTTTCAAGTCCTCGCATGCTTGTTGCAGTCGCCGAGCGAATCTATCTTTGTCTACTGGTCTATAAAAATGCTCGAACAGTCTCTCATCGATATTTCTCCCACCGCACAAGGTATCTCCATAAACAGACTTGACTTCAAAAATTTTATTTTTCACCTCTACTAAAGACACATCAAGGGTTCCTCCTCCCCAATCGAAAACTAATAATTTTGTTGCCACGTTTTTGTCTTGCACGTAATGAAGTGCTCCGGCAGAAGGTTCCGTGATGAATTTCAATAATTTGAGTCCAGCCAATTCAACCGCCTTCTTGGTAGCTTTTCTTTGAGCGTTACTAAAATATGCCGGTATAGATACAACAACTTCTGTAACACCTCTTCCTAAGTAGTCACTGGCCATTCGTTTCAGATATTTCAATATCTCTGCACTAACCTCTTCTGGTGTTTTTGTAACTGTCTCATACTTTACATTCAACTGATAAACGGCTTTATCATCAACCCCTCGTACCAAAGAAAACTGAATGTTCTTTTGCAGGTGATATCTTGAGATGAATTCGTCATCGAATNTGTACATCAGAAAATGCGCCTTGAGGCATGGAACATATGTACCAAATATGCCAAAGATGTCTACAAAATTATCTCAGTTATTATTAAAAAACTGATTATTTTTGAAAACTTTGCCACCCTGTATCTCAAAAGTTAAGGCGTTTAGGACATACGTCCATAGAAAGTTTTTTTCTTAAAATGGGTCTAAGAATTACCGCCTTAAATATTAGCATGTGTTTAAGGAACACCCTGTATAGGGACATACATACGAGCCGCTTCGTGAACCGTAAAACATCTACTAGGTACTCAAATTAATATATTGCCAAATTGTGGACCATTTCAGAATGCAGTATTTACACTTGAACGGGGAAAGTTTTAGAGTTTCATCTACATAGTCCTTCATTTTTATACCATACAACGCGAAACGTTATTTAAGTGATTCCACAAATAGTTCGATTTAGAAACATGTTGATGCACGATGAAAATGTAACTAAAAAATTAACGGAAAAACGTCAGGAAAAAAGAACGAGTTGGAATAATGTGTTCTAGTTTTGTGATTAAGAAGTTAATTTACACAATTTGCCAGTATATTTATGAACGCATCAATATAGAAGTAAAATGCCTACAAGAAGTTCTTTCAAACATAATTCAGTGTTCTTTCACTAACCGTCATTTAGTTTCGAGTTCAACATTTTCACATTTTGAAAATTAAATCAATTTTAATGTCAAATGATATCGATAGACCAAAGTGCTAAAGTATTTATATGTACCGATATATGTATAATACTTATAAGTTATACTCACTTCAATATTTTTTGGTTTTCGTGGTGCACACTTTTTCACTGCCCCATTATTCTGATACATTTTCAGGCTTCCCACTCACAAAATACTACAAATGTTTGCTAAGTCTAGGAGCAAAATGATGGTTGAATATTAAATAGCTAGTTTTATACCCAAACACTTGCACCGAACAGGTAAAAACATGAATTGTCTGAAGAGTATTAGTTTTATTACACTCATTACAGATAAGACTAAATCTATTCAAATTCTTAGGGTGATCATAAAAAAGGGATAATAAGGATGGAAGAATCGAAATTATCTGGGATATTCCAAAGTTGTCTCGCTGATAATGTAGCTTTCTTCAAGTGAGAAGATTTCAAAAATCAGTTGAATTTTATGTTTATCCAACGCTGAAATATTATACTTTATTTTTTCTGCGAAAGAGAAACTATATTTATTCATCCTGCAATCTATTGAAAAGACTTCCCCACATAAGAACAGAAGTACTGACTCTCTACATATATTTATTCATTGAATATACAGTGTGTAACAAGGAAAACTTAACAGAGCCGTTTTTGAATGAAAAAAGTAAGATTTTTAAAAAANTAACCCTATCGGACACTAACTTGATTCGATACAAGTCGAATGGTTTCATTTATCCTTCAGATTGTTCAAAAGTTCCGTCTTCATCTCGCAAACTCCTGGCTTCTTCCAGTGAAGAATATGGCTTACTTCCGCACAAACCTAAATCACAGTTTTGATCAAGAGGTAGTTAGTTTCTCCATCGGAATCTTCAGATGCTTCTACTCTTACAAAACCATTTTGATCCAAAGCATTTTGCAATTACTTCCAGAAGGGTTTCTGATCGATGTAACTCAAATAACAGACGGTGGCATTTATCCCTCAGAATTTATTTGATACAGACCAATTGCTCAAAAGTTTAATCTTTGTCTCGCGAAGACCTGGCTTCTTCCAATGGAGAATGTGGCTTAATTCCGCACAAACCTAAATCACAGTTTTGATCAAGAGGTTGTTAATTTCTCCATCGGAATCTTCAGATGCTTCTATTTTCAGGAAACCATTATGATCCAAAGCGAACGTCACAATAAACTCAAATTCTCCTGCCTTCATGGGAGGCAGGCCATAAATATTGAATTCTCCCAATTTATAGTTGTGAAGGCAGTTTTCTCTATCACCCTCATAAATTTTGAAAGTGACATTCTCTTGATAGTTCTCAGAGGTGCGAAACCTCTTACTTTTTTTCACAGGTAGAGATGAATTCCTTTCAATAAATACATCCATGAAGTGACCATAGCATTCAAGACCAATTGACAGTGGAGTAGCATGTATCATTTTGGAATTACTTTTAGAAGGGTTTCTGATCCAAAAAGCTTCCAAACATGCACCGGAGGCAACAGCTTCGTCTGGATTGAAGTCAGACCTCATTGTCACACCTGGGAACTTTGTCATGACCTGTTCCCGGATTTTAGGCATTCTTGTAGATCCACCAAGTAACGCTAACTCATCTATTGAATCTATGGTCCAGCCTGCATCATCAAGACAAAGATCGATTGTGTCGATTACTTTTTCAATAATATCTTTATTGATATCTTCCAGTTCAGATCTACTCAGTACCAAATTCAGATCGTTTAATCCATCGTAGCAGTCGATGGTGACAGAATATTCTGAATTAGAAGATAACTGGTGTTTCAAGTCAACACAACCTTTCATAAGCCTATGTTTGATTCGGCTAGTGAAACATCCACTGTGGAATTTCAGTAATCTTTCATCTATATCAGTCCCTCCTAGTAGTGTGTTCCCGGCAACAGCTTTAACTTCGAAGATCTTGTCCTTCAGAAGAATCGCAGAGACATCAATTTTTCCACCACCCCAATCGAAAGCCAATATCTTTGAAACTCTGTTTGTATCTCTGATGTAATGTAAAGCTCCAGCACTTGTCTCTGAAATGAATTTAAGTAACTTCAGACCTGCCAGCTCAACGGCTTTTTTCATTGCCAGTCTCTGCGAGATGCTGAAGTGAGCTGGTATTGCAACTACCACTTCTTTCACCTTTGTGTTCAAATATTCAGAAGCCATCTGCTTCAAGTATACCAATATGTGAGCAATGACTTCTTCCGGTGTTTTGAATGATTTCCTACCACCAATTGTGAGCTGGTAAACGGTGCTGTCATCAGTCCAACGTGCCAGCATGAAATCTGTGGTTTTCAGGTTGCAGGCTCTTGATATGTAGTCGTCATCAAATTTCCTGCCGATAATCCTCTTGGCATCTGAAAAAATAACACAAATAATCATTTTCAACAAAGAAAACAGAAGAAGGAATTTGAAATTTTATACATTCGCAATGAAAATATTTTAAGGAGCTAACAACGCTCTGATATACTGTAATATTCTGATTCTCATGCTTTAGGCTTTGCCAAACAAAGATTGAATACCTGNTTTCTTTTGTGAACCTATCATGTGTTAGAGGGAAAGTCAAAAGACGATGCACTAAAAAATTCAACCCAGCACGTTTGTGCTGTCCACAGTGATGTGAACTGTCAGGAATATACCTGTATCACAAGTACGAACACAAAATGCAAAATACCTACTTTTATTTTACATTTCAAATACTTCTTTCGAATTGTATTCAGTATTTTATTCGAAATACTTTACATAAATATTCAATATTTTTGAAACACAAAATAGTTTTGTTACATTTTTTAATTCGTTTTTACTATTTTTCATTTTTAAATCCAAAATCACTTTATTTATGAACGCACTGAATGTGATCCTAAATGTTGTCACCATTGTCACCAAGAACAATCTTAGGTTAATGGCGTCAATCAAACTATGTATTTTTGTGAGAGCTGTGATTTTGCTCAGTTCTTTATGTATCTGTAGAGTAGGGAGGGTGAGCCATTGACCCATTGTACATCCTCCCGAGGAGTTGTCCTCCTAGGTCATCATCCATCCTGTCCTGTGAACAGGTCAGTGGGAGACATCTCCTTTATATCGGCAGATGTGGGCCAAGACTCGCTGAACTCACACTCTCTTATTGACGATAACTCCGGACATTCGCATAGGACACTTTTATCTTCTTGTTCACACATCCTGCATAGAGGTGTGTCCACTAGCCCCATACTGTGGAGGTGTTTCCTTAGTTGACAGTGGCCCGTCAGAAATCCTACTGATAAGCGTAGGTTTATTCTGGTCATCGCCAGATATTTCGTCGGCACTAGCTTACCAGGGTCACCTAGGGTGATCCTGGCAGGATTGCATCTGTTAATTTCATCCCATCTCTTTAGGGATTGAGCATGGGTATGACGTTTGGCTAGTTCCGCAATTGTCGAAGTTATCGGGCTGTAGGTGCCACTGGGTCCTAAAATTCTCAGTCCAGCCACTTCCTTGGCTAAAGAGTCGGCAATGCGATTACCTTTACTCCTGTCATGTCCTCTAATTCACCTCAGGATAATGTTATTATCTACCGAGGTTTTGGCTGATTCTTGGTACTAGCCCTGAGGTAAAACGTTGTCTGTTCAAGGCTAATAGAGCTTGTCTGCTATCAGTGCAGATTGTTACGTTTTTGCCAGAAATTCCTTTCCTGGTTATTTCTTTTGCGGTGATTGAGATACCATCCAGTTCTGTTTGAACCACGCTGGTATTTTTCCCATTCCCCACTTAATCCTTACGCTTAGTGATCTGGAGTACACTCCACATCCTGAGCCTTCTTTGGTTTTTGAGCCATCTGTATATATGCTTATTGCATTTGTAGCATCTGACTCTGTGTTCCGTTTTATTTGTATTTTGTATTTTTGTTTATTAAACACAAACCTGGGTTCAATTGCATCACTGGTTGCCTGCAGCAGAGGTTGCGCAGTAAGCGCTTCTCGCCAAAGGCTCAGCCTGAATTGACCCATTCCTACTTTGAGGTTTACACCAGTCGTGCGCAATCGTAACATGGCCATTAACGCAACCTCCTTAACGTACAGGTCCAGATGGGCCAGACCAGTAATTAATTCCATTGCCGCGGTTGGTGTTGTTCTCATGACTCCTGTGATGTTTAAACAAGTCAATCGCTGCAGTCGATATAATTTCTTCATGACCTTTGCTTGTAGAACTTTCGGTCCCCATGCAATGGCTCGTACGTTAACATAGGTCTTATTATTGGAGTGTAGATTCAGGTGACCACACGGGGAGAAGGACCCCATGCGCATGCCACTGTCCTCCGACATTG